ATGATTGTGTTGATGCAACTCGTGATTGTGTCGATACATCCCGTGCTTGTGTCGATACATCTCGTGATTGTGTCAATACATCTCGCGGTTGTGTCTACTATAATAATATTGTATCTAAATTAAACTCTGCACGTGCAGCTGGCAATAACTCTATTTTATCTCAACATCAGGTTGCAGGCCGACGTTAATAATTGACGTGGGAGTGAGTTGGTCGGGCGGTTGTGTGTGTGGGGGGGGGGGGGGCGGGGGGGGGAGGCAACGAGTGGTTGACGAGAGGCGACTTTGACGTCCGTCTTCGATTGCAGATGGAACAAATTTCAAACCCAGCCTCAAACGGCTGTCACACGGCTGTCAAACGGCCACTTGAACATCTGTTGCCCGGAGAAACAAAAGTAGCCATTGTGTCATCGGACTGCATCTAAAAAAAAAAAAAACCCGTTAGATTTGTATTTCCAAAAAAAATTTTAAAAATTCAAAAACAATCCGTTAATTGTTTGTAGAACTTTTTTTTGGTATTAACAACACCTTACTTATTTCATCAAGATTTCAAGTGTATTGCACTTTTCTTGTTGTAAAATGTAAAAGGGGACGACAGTGCCACGTAGAGTGCGCTGTCACCTGCGTAACTATCACCCCGGGCTTTCATTCGTTTGCGCCGAGGGGGGCTCTTGTCTTTGAAGGTACGAGCAACGCGGAAACGTAATTAGTGGCATTTGTTAATTTTTAATTTTTTTTTTTTTAAAATACAGCTTTGGGTTTAGTCATAGAATGTTTCATTGCGTGAAAATACCTCCGACATATTATATGAACCGCCCTGCCCCAAATTTTACCGAGACGATTTAACGATATTATAAAGTCGGCTGAGATTATCGTCGATGCAAAGCAGATGGTAGTTGGGCGCTGAAGGAACGAGAGCTGCGAACGCTAGGGGCGTGTACTGCGGAGAAAAAAAAGTAGCGCTCCTCTTATACGGGGGACTATTTGTTTTGACCAAGTTTCTCAGAACCTGCCCAGTGTTAAACCCTTCAAAATTATACATCTCCCATTAGGCGCATAGTAAGTGAACAGTGTTTTTTTTTTTTTTTTTTTAATAAGAAAATACTGATTTATTTAAATTATTATTAGGTGCCCTTTTAAAGTTTGAGCCTGGTGGAAACCACCCATATTGAGCAACCCNGAATGTGTGTAACCGTAGGAGTGTGTCTTATGGCAGGAATGTGTTAGCGCATGGGCGCCCGCAGGTAGGGGCAAGGGGGGGCACCCCCCTGGATTGATTGGATAAAAAATTTTTAGACAAAAATAGACAAAAAATGTATTAAAGTAAAGAGAAAATAAAGAGAAAGTAACTAAGCTGATGTCCTGTCCGTTCGTTCACCATACAAATACGCTACAGTAAATTAAAACTATATTAAAAAATTACAAAAAAAATTTTGCCCCCCCCCCCTGGAAAGTTAATCAATTTTTTTTGCCCCCCCCCCGAGAATGTTTTCTGCGGGCGCCCATGCCTTCATGGTGGATGGATCTTACATTCCGTTACACGTCAATCTGAAAATGATGAACATGACACACCTTTCTCACTACATTATCTTTTATTTAAAAATAAATCAGCGTAAAAAAAAAAGTATTTAGATCTTAAACCAAATTTTGTTAAGTTTTAAAGAGAACAACTGCATTTATCTATTGCAGTGGTTCTCAGCCTGTGGGTCGTGACCTTTTTTGGGGGGTCGAACTACCCTTACACGGGGGTCACCTAAGACCATCGGAAAACACATATTTATGAAGTAGCAATGAAAATAATTTTATGGTTGGGGGTCACCAAAATATTACGAGCTGTATTGAAGGGTAACGGCATTAGGAAGCTTAAGAACCACGGAACTAATGGAAGAATCACAGAGAGAGAGAGCGAGAGAGAAAGGGGGGTAGAGAAAGAGAGACCGAGAGAGCGTGTGAGAGAGAGAGGGAGAGATAGAAAGAGAGAGTGAGGGAGTCAGAGTGATGGAGAGGGAAAGAGATAGATAGATAAGACATAATAGAGAGAGAGAGGGAGAGAGAGGGGAGAGGAAAAGAGATAGATAAGACAGAATAGAGAGAGAGAGATAGAGGGAGAGAGAGAGAGAGGGATGTAGAGGGAAACATGTATATAGACATATAAATAGATTTAGAGAGATAGAGAAAGAGCGAGAACGATAGAAAGAAAGATAGAGAGAGAGAATGAGGAAAAAAAAGAAAGATATATAATATATATATAGAGAGTCTTGCGTTCGGTTTGTGAAAATGCGTGATAATCCTTAATAATATTTTAATTTGCCTTGTGTTGACCAAGTCTGAAATCAATATCAATAAGCTCATAAATGCAGCTCAGGGTAAAGGGCCAATTTACGTTTCTATTTATTAATCCATAGCTCATGGCACGCTTTATTAAAAGTTTACGCACGTCGGGTACAATGTCATTTCTCTGCATTCTTATGGTTTACTGTCTGAAATAACTTTTTTTTGTGTGGTTGTCATTTTCTTTCAAATAGATAATAAGGGGAGAGACTGCAATCAGGTTAGGTGACAAGAAATAAGAGAAACCAAGTATGGGAAAACCTGAAAAAAATGAACGCAAAAAAAAAAAGAAAATTTAAAAATAAAATAAAAAAATTTAAAAAAATCGACGAACGTGTCAACAAGAAGCCTTCTTCAGCAAAAACGCAACAATTAAACAAAATAAAATTAAAATAAACAGCTGCAATTTAATATCTGAGAGGACAGTAAGAGAAATGTACTCATAAAGAATTGCGCTTTCCTCTTGCGGTTCCTCTCGTTTACTACATTGCAGCTAAGTGTTATATATATTTTATTTTGACCCCCTATCTTGAGAATGGGAAAAGAATTATTATTTTTCATTACATTTTGTGTACATAATCTAATCTAAACATGAAGAGGTTTCGGGGAATTTCATGTATCAGCCACTTATAAAAAAAAGGACCAAATTTACAATTGTACCTATGCGGTGGGAGGCAAGGGTTACCATGCTCTTTGTTTTGATCATAAATATAATGGAGATTAATTCATATTATTAATCATTATTTTAAAAAAAAATCAAAAGCATGTTTGTTTTGAACGTTCTGTATAATTATTTCAATTTCGAAATAGATTTTTATTAAATATTAAATTTCGTTGCGATTGAACAGCTATATTAATTCTAAACGTCGTCATAGCATTCATTGAAAACTGAAATATTTTCAAAAATCGTTGGTATGACGACAAGACTGTTTCATGGGAGCAGGGTTTCTTTCAGCTGTAGCAAAAATATGTCCAACAATAAATCAGCTGGCACTGCTGGCACCGCCCCCCGCCCCCCCCCCCGTAAAACTGAAGTGCACCCCCCCCCACTGGGGAAATTACTGAAATAATCACTGCATGGGAGTTTTCGATAGGAGCCAGAATGTTCCATACATTGATCATGGGCCCTCAAAATATAGAAGAAGAAGAAGAGTCATTAAACTGTAAACATTAAATACTCTTAATGCAGCATTTTTTATTTTTTTTTTTCAAATTCCACTTGAGTTTCTTTAGGATAATTCTTTCGAGGCAGCTTCTTTAGTTTCGCATTCTGTATTTTCTCGTAATAACTTTATATGTAGGCTATATATTAAGGTTGTAAAGACGCCAATGATCTGGTCAAAAAGTCTGCCATTATGATGTTTCCTTCTTTGTCAGCCCACTTAACACACATTTGTCTTTATTGAACTTTCTCTAGTTACTAATTCATATCTTCTGCTATAGCCGAAGTAGCCATCTCAATACTTGTTTTTGTTAGCCCTTGGGATAATGCATTAGTCGCATCAATCTGCGCACACTGCATGCTGTCAGTTATTATAATTTTTAACACTAGTGGCAGGGTCTTGCTGAAATTCGCCATCTTTGTGCTCACGAGTGACAGAATATTTTAGCAAAAAACGTCCAAAGATGGGTTCCTATCGAGGGAAAAAAATGTATACTACCAAAAATGAATTTCCTCTCAAACAGCCATTAACAGGAAACATACACATCATACTGATCGAGGGTCATTCCCTCTGAGAGTAGTGTACAAGCTGATGTATCTTGGTAATATGAGCTAGATTACTGCTAGAAAATAATTGCATTATAGCACCTTGACATTTTTTGCAAAAGAAGGTCAAAGCAATAATTTCAAGCCATTCTATGAATGGTCATTTTGTATATTTATTCATTACCCAACACATTAATACTCTCTCATTCATCAATTTAGTTTTGGCTTTATAGTACATGTTTTTATGTTACAATTACTTGATGATCGGTTACGTATGTGATCAGATCAAACTTGGCATCCTAATCAGACGTCTTGTTTAAACAGTGATTGTTTTCCAGTTGTTCATAATTCTATCTTTAAGGTCATATATGTGTAATTTACACATTTCCGAGGCCTTAGTTAGGGGCCCGCCTCGGGTTGTACTGGCTTTTATCATTGTCATTTAATTGTAGGTAACTTGGGCATTGTGATGTGCCCAACCCTTTAAGTTATAAGCCATTAGGGTCAAACCAATTACATGTCAAAGAGCAATATAGTATACCCTGAATTAATAGTGATGAAATTACTTTCTATTTAGTTTATAAACTGCTTGTTATATTACCAAGTTAAAAAAGCGAAGTTGACATGATATTTTTGAAGGATTTCAAAAATGCTTAACTTTTTTCTACTTGCGCCTCAACCACTAGACTCTATTATCTATTATTATTATCTCTATAATTTAAGTATTTTCATGCTAATATTAAAATTTTGTTCTTTATTACTTTTAGATACACCTCCCTTAAAAATGTTTCATCTGAATTGAATTGTTTTCTAAATAAATATTTTTTTTTCCGGATACTGCATAATCGAAGGTATATTAGATGTTTGCAAACAATGGATTATACTTTACAATAAATAGCAATAGGTTTATTTGGACTAAAAAAGCAATCTTTTGGACATAAAGAATAAAAATCATAGATGACCCGGATGTAGTTACTTGTTGCTGGGCAGCCTGCAGCTTTCTGTCATCTATAAAATCAAATTTGATTCTTGAAAATAAATTTAAAATGCCGTTTAAATACGTAACAGAACATAATTAACATTACTGACTCATTATGTCATAATTGTGCACTTCCCATCTTTGGAGACATTACATGTTCTAATGACTGCATTAATTAGTATTTGGGCTTAAGGTAAGCTGGCCTCATTTTATAAATTATCGAAGTGAAGTGGTGATTCGCACCCGGCACCCGGGTATTAGAAGTGAGAGGTTGGGATTAAAAAACTATTAAAAATATTATTGTTGAATTTTTAAGACAAAATGAGGTATGAAATGAAAGATAATTGAATGGACTATGTGCTTGTTAACTTACTTCTTCAGTTTAGGTAAAATAAACTACCACAAATTACATCGAATGGGATTTAATTTAATGAATTTATCCAGGCCTTACTGATTTGTATTTTTTTAAATTGGAATCTTGGGGTTGCCTCTAATTCTAAGATATTTTAGTACTTACAAGAAAACAGCCGAAGCCGAAGGTAAACAATTTATGTGAATGAAGGGCATCCTGCTTGAGATTTTTTATTTCATTGATTTTCATATTAAATTATATTTACTTTTGGCTTTGGAGTGTTAGCCTAGGCCTAAAAATATTAAACTTAAAACTTTTGTGTTTTCATTAATAATTAAAAAAAAAAAAAATTTTTACACTCATAGGCCTAGGGATCATTTTTTACAGATTACAACTTCCTTTACAGATACCAATACCAAAATTTGATTGAGGAGCAGACAATGTCTGATCTGGTTGCTTATTGGGAATTAGCTTTGAGTGATGGGGTTCACAAGGTGGAATTTGAACATGGTACTACAAGTGGGAAACGTGTTATAAGGGTTGATGGAAAGGTATGTTGTATTTTATACTGAATTTCTCATTGTAGTCATATTATTGTACAAAGATACTTAATTTAAAGTTTGGCTATCTGTCTTAAAGCAGTTACAGTGCAAAATTTGCAATATTAATAGCAGCCATGGCTTTACTTGTAGAAATTGAAAGACCATATTTATTGATTTTGGTTGCCATTTCATATGTTGAACTTGAAATTGTTCTATTTGTATGTCTCTTTAATTATATACATTAGTATACTAAGCATTTTTGTATACCTATATAAGAGGAATCTATATTGGTAATTAAATGCCAAAACTTGCACTCTGAAATTCTAACTTATTATTTCAGGAGATATACCGCCAAGACTGGATGTTTAAACTAGTAGGCAGAGAGCATTTCCAGGTGGCCAAGGCAAAATGTGTCATCACCATAGAAGCTGTGAGCGGCTTTGCTTATGAGTATTCACTTGAAGTCAATGGAAAGCCTCTGAAAAAATTTAGAGAGAATCAAAGTAAAATCATGAAAACATGGACACTGTACATAGCTGGAAAAGATACAAGAGTTGTATTAGGTAAAACTTAATATTTTGTAACCTAAAATTTGAATTGAGCTTATTCCATTTTTAAAAATTTTACAAATTATTAATGTGAATAAATTTTATTGTGAGGAGTTTTTTTCTGTTAAAAATGTATATGTATATTTTGTATTTGAACAACTGTCTGATAAATCTAAAGATATATTCAATATACTTATTAGGCAGTTTGTTATCCCTTTTTGTAAATGATTTAGGTGTATTCCTAAAATTGTTTAGGTAAAAATTGCAAAGATGTATTATAATTTTGTATATTACAGAAAAAGACACACTGGATGTATGGGTAAATGGATCCAAAGTGGAAACAACGGTAAGTTTTTGTTTCATTAAACCTAATTGCCCCTTCTGTTCCATTATTGTTCCACATCTTTTCTGCAGTAGCCTATATCTAATGTTGATTACCACATACAGTTGGCCCTCATATGACTGTAGCAATCAGTTGAATTATAATATATCAGTTATGCGACAGAATCGAGATAGTCTCCGTTGACAATCTTTTGACCATTTTTTAAATTAAACTATTGAACTTAATTTTATTTTAAATTTGAATGAATCTAATGTTTTATTGTATTTAAATTAAGGTTGAGAGCATGTTTTATTTGGCTTAGCATCGGGAAAAATCTGAAAAAGGAGCTGGGTGTACAAAATGTGTAAATATTTTAAATGAAGAGAGATTAATGAAGTGAATTGAAGTGAAAAATATTGAAATTATTGTCGAATTGTGACAGAAAACTAAAGGATATGATTAAAATAATAGAAAATTTAAAGGAGCATGTTTCTCCTGATTTTGAGTTTGAAGTTGAGATGTTGATCACATTAACTAAAAAAATAAACATCTCATTTTTGTTATTCACAGGGAGAGTTTGTGGATGATGGGACTGAAACACATTTTGAGGTTGGCTCTTATTCTGCCTACATTAAAGCTATAACAACAGGGAAAAGAAGAGATGGGATTGTGCACCAGCTTTATGTTGATGGGGCTGAAGTACCTTTAGCAAAGGAATAGTCTTAATATTATTTTATATAAATTTTAAAAAAATCTTTTTCAATGAAATATAAACAATAATAATGATAACACAAAAATTGAATGGTCATCCGATCCGATCTTTTCCAAAATATATTTTTTATTTTAGCATGTCTTCAGATAAATGTTTTGATTAATTAGATTTTAGATTTTTTTTTGTAAATGTTGAGATCTGACTGTTATGTAGCCTACACATGGATTTGTAAAGTTGTTGATATTGTTAAAGGATATAAATTATAAGCCTTATTTAATTACCCAGTATGTACAAGTTATATACCTCTTTATTCATTGGGCAAAGAGACTAAGTCCTACAAACAATAAGAAAATATTGTGAACATAGACTGCTAGAACTAAAATTGCAATATACATATATTAATATTAATTTTGACAACCATATCATATTTATCAGCATTGCCTTATAACAAAGCTAAAAAAATTACATTAAGTGAAAAAATTTCATTAGTAATTTACCTAAATCCACATAATCTTTTCAGGTGTATATATATATAAAAAATTACATAAAGTCATTGCTATTTGTTTTAATGTAATAGTTTTTGAGAAATTGAATAAGTGAATGAAATAAACAATCCAGACAACCAATGACTTGATCTGCAAAAGTTTCTTCATATAGTGTCAGTGAATTTCCAAGACTGGCACTACTCTGGGGACTGATAATTGAAAAACCAATGATCAAAATCAATGGTTTGATAAAATTTGAAAGGCACATCTTTTTTCTCCCCAAGGCTTGAATGTTTAATGAGTTTTTGATGGTTAAATTTTACCTAACCCATCTTAACTTAACACACTTTATGGTTGTCTGAGGAAATCCATTCATTTTTGCTTTTTTAAGAAATTCTTATGTTTTTTACTTTTTTTATTGTTGTATTTTTTTCTCGTCCCCAGAGCCATATTCACACATGAGCTCATATTAACTATACTATACAATTGTTATTATTATTATTGCAGTAACAAGCAATTGATGATACATTTAATGTTCTGTTGACTGATAAAAGCAAATATTCTAAGTCACTTTGTTTTATAATCCCATTTCTAAAAGCTGTTTATTTTATCATTGTTTTTTTAAAAAATAGAACATTTGAGAATTATTGAAAAAATTACAATGTACAATTTACTATTATTTTTTTTTCAAAAAAAAAGATGTTAGAATAAAGATGTTGTCAAAATAAAATTGTATTACTTCTTTTCATAATTTTGTGAGAGACCTCATGAACGCCTATTTATGATGTCCCTGGAGAACCGGTTATACATTCTAAATCATTATTTTCTGAATAACTAAATGCCTCTTGTGAGTAGTGTGTCTCTTAATAATGCAGCTGATGTTACTTGGCTTAAATAAAATGCAATGGCAATAATATCTTAATAAGATCACCAATAAAGAACTTGCAGCTTGTAATTTTCACCTTTGTGCAAGTTCACTTATCATACTTGACTGCAATTATTTGTGTTATACCCGTATGAGTTTTAAAAAAATATGTAGTGCCTTTGATTAGTTTTTATTTAATATTTAGCCAAATCTTTTTTTTTTAAAATCTTAAAACTTAAGTGTGTTTTCTATCTGCTTGCAAAGAAAATGTTTGAGCTATCTCAGTGGTAGGCAAATTGTGGCTCACGAGCCCCATGCAGCTTTTTAGGGACCTAAGTGCGGCTCGGCCAGTCGGTCACAAATTGATTTTGACAGATTCTTAAAAAGAAATTTGTCTCTCAAAAATTTTTTAACCGTACGGCTGCTGATTTTTGGCTTGTTTGACTAATGGGTTTGCCGACAACTGTGCCATCTCATTTCCAGTTATACATATTTATTTCATTTAAAAGCGGGTTCATTGGAACTATTGTTTTAATTTTGTTAAGACCTATAATATTTTTTATTTATGTTGTTTCCTTATTTGGGGGGGCTACATAATAATAGTTCAGCTGCTTCTTAATCAATATTTAATGTTATTTTCTGTTTTTTTTTAAATTTAGCTTTCAAGAACCCTTTTGACATTAAAGTTTTTAATTTTCTTTACAAGTTTAAAATGTGTACATAAGAGGTAAACAGTGTTATTTCTTTATAAAATCTTTTTTCTAACTTATTTCTATATTTCAACAAGTTTAGTTACTTTTACTAAAAATAATGATTTTTATTTCACGTAATTGCCTTTTTTTAATTCATCTTTATCAACATGTTTTTAATTTATTTTAAAATTACATGAAATATTCTGACCATTATTTTATGTGACACCTTGTTATCACAATGATTGCTTGTGTGTGTTGACATATAAAAGATGATTGTTTCACATTTTCCTCATGAGTCAGTTATTTTTCTTGCATCAGTAAACAGTTGTGAAAACATTACTTTAAAAAACAAAATTCTTCCCTTAAATTAATTTTAAATTAATTGGAATCCTTTTACTACAATTTAGTAAATGCATTCATTAATTTTTAGACTTCAGATATTTGAAATCTAGCTAATTACAAACCCATTTATAAACATAACATATATACCAATGCAACTGAAAATAATAACATTGATGTCTTGGTACAAACATTATATTGGTTACTGTGATTTTAAGATTAAATCTACTTAAAAGTAGTTTGCCCACAGCATCTATATGAAAGATTAAATTATATTTATGTTGGCTTCCATAGCTTCAGGCATTTTATTTTCCACCTCCGGGTCCCAGACTTTAAATAGCAGAAAGCAGCATTTCGAGAATGGTGAATCATCCATCACACATAATATGTAATTTTCCTTCCGTAAATTCTTTGGGTTAGCCACAAATAGCTACAGCAATTTTTAATGTCAGCACAGTGATTTAAAAAACTTCATCTGGTCAGATAGAAGACCCCATCAACAGAAGTAAGCAGACAATACAATTTAGTTTTCATATTCGACTTTAAGTGACATAAGAAACCTAAGAATAGATTTGAAAATCCTTTATTGCCAGTCACAAATTGAACCGATTAACTGAAATGAATTCAAAGAACTAATCAAAATTAGAAGGCATTAAAATTACTTAAATCTTAAACATTTTTTTAAAATACTTATATTTAAAAAAATACACTGTAACTGCAACATTTTTGTTTTAGATATCAACTATTTTATAGATTCTGATTCTTTATTAAATAATATTAAAGGTTACCAGTTAAATTTTTTTTATTTGAGTAAGATGATGAATCCATTTGTTTCATAAAGAAAAGGTCAGCAAAGTTTCAGGAAAGGCCATGATTATATGAGTACACAACTCATACTGCCATACTGATAAGGTCAGGCACTTTCAGGCAGTAATAACATCAGAGACTATCAATAACTTATAGAATAAACTAACAGTACTTGTAATTCTCTCAAAAGTGTTAACACAGACCAGTGAATCTTGTTTTAAAAGAACTTATTTATTTTATTAACGTTGCCAGTGAATGTGGTAATGCTAATTTTTTAAACAGTAATTCAATAATATTCTTTTAAAAAATTAACTATAGTGCAACTATTTATAACACTTTAATGCATCACAAAAGATGAACAGTTATTGTGTCTAAAAAGAAATCCAAATATTGTTAATAATAATTTTTTTTAAATGTAGGCATTGTAGCCATACAATACAGTCATTGTAGGTAAGATAGCATGTACAACAGAAAGACGACTATTCTAATTTATTAACAATTTGCTTGGACTCTGCTCCACGCTGACAAAGTTGATGTTTTACTGAATAATTTCAAGGTGTGTTGAATAAATTAAAATCAGTAATTAAAAAAACTTAGAAAACAATTCAATAACCCAATCATGGGCTGAAATGATGATGACCTATTAGGTTTCAGACCTCACTTTAAAAAAATAATTATAAAAACCTTGTCTGTTCAGCAAATATTTAACAGTTAAAGTAGAGATTTAAAGCACTTTATTAATGAATTCTCTCTCTGAGCATTATGGCTGAAATGAAAAGTAAACACAAAATAGTTTAAATATACAAAATTAAATATTTAACCACAACCTTTCAATTTCAATGAGTAAGTCATTTCTTCTTGAATAGTTCCAATGAATAAATAACTCTAGTTGCATGCATGCTTAAAGTTAATGAACATCAAGACACTAAACACCATCACCTCAATTAGAAGTTACAGATTATCCAGATCTAGTGATGGTTTGGCCAGGAATGGGGAAACTACACATTCATAAAAAGTGTTATTTATACAAAATTTCCAGACATTCTGATTCGTTTATAATTTTATCAACTCTATGATGTTTATTTGAAAGTTAATTTTCCTAAACTACAAAACTAATTAATTAAACTTAATCCATAAAGACATTTTTTAAAAGCACTCTTATTGTCAGGCCACCACAGTTTAAAAAAAAAAAAAAAAGAGAGAAGGGCAATAGTATTTATAAAGATTTCCAGCCTCCAAATTGAAATCAGTTCAATAGCTGATTTTTAATTTTCCTAAACTAAAAAACTAATTAATTAAACTTAAACCAAAAAAAAATTTTTTAAAAGCAATCTTATTGTCAGGCCACCAAAGTTTAAAAAAAAAAAAAAGAGAGAAGGGCAATAGTATTTATAAAGATTTCCAGCCTCCAAATTGAAATCAGTTCAATAGCTGATTTAGTATAAAACAAATGCTAATGGCATATAATTCGCTGGGATTTTAACAATTCAAAGAAGAAGGCAAACATTTTCTTCACTTGACAATTCTTGTACAGCCTTTAACTTACACGCACATATCTTTAACTATATCTTACACCCATTGTATAACTTCATTTTCGAGTCATTGAACAATAATGGCAAGAGCTGAGAATATTTCAAAACTAAAAATAATAGAATGCTAATTGGGTAAGGAATAAATTTGAAGAGATTTTATGCAACACTGAACAAATAATTCTCACATACTTTAAGTAATATGTAATAAAACAATTTTTTTATTGATACTAGGCTAAAGTTTATTAATATTATTGTTAATTACATTTCTAATGACTAAAATTACGATGTGTTCGAGGTTTGCTGAAGTAAATTATTTCCTACCGCTTAAACATATATAAATGAAAATGTTACATACCTAGGCACAGGTATCTTTAATTATTAATAAATTAATCAATATTCCTGAAGGGTTCATAGATAGTTTTCACAAAATAAAGTTTAAAAATAATTTTAATTTATTGCAATCTATCTCATAATTATTGGGTTCAAATTGAAATTTTCTAAACTTTACACAGGACCTGTCTGAAGTTTAAAAAACCTTTTAGGCTTGCTGTGATACTCAAATTTATGCACTGATAAGATTTTCACTTAGAACTGTTTCAAAAAATACAGCTGTCTATCAAGTAGGAATATAAACTACTTTAAACTCTTCCCTTGGTCAGGACATGAGGTACCAGGTTATTCTAATGATACTTGGCTTAAAAAATACTACTATTCATTATGTTAAGCTCAAAACTGGAAAGCACCATTATGGAAAGTCCACATTAGTCAAAACCAAGCTTAAAATATTTGTCTTCTATCCTTTTACAAAACTGTGCCAGGTTAGGAAACTCTTGGACCACGGCTGTGAAATGTCCCCCAGGGAGTATGGTGGTGACGATGGTGTAGAGATGACCGAAAACCAATGCATCCAGTTCTGTAGGACTAGAAGAAAATGATTGCATTTAGGTATCACTAAAAAAAAGATTGCCAAGGATAAAAGCATTTAATGTAGTTAGATGGCTCATAGTTTTCTGACAATAGTTTCTAATATGAATATTCCATGGATAAATTTGTTTTTATTTTATCTTTTATTCTTAACAACATTGAAAAATAAATGTTAAAATTTGAATATTTTCATCAATACAAATTATGAATGTTCAGCACTGATTTAACTGAAGAAGTTCATTGTTTCTTCAAACTTTATACAGTAACATAAATTGTTTTTTAGCTCCAGTTCATTCATCTTTGTTCACAATTAGTTTTAATTGGCCATTGTTGGATGCACATAACAAAACACTGTTAATCTAGCTGCCTAGTTGATACATACTGGTCACCAAAGAAAAACTGTTTCTTTTCTAAGCGCTCTGACAAGGCCTGACAGCAGATCTTAACTTCCTCACACACCTGGATGTGGGTACATAAAAAATTCATTTGGAAAAAAAAAAACACTAGGATTTTTTAGTAAAATGTTTCATAATTTATAAATTCATAAAAATTAGTAATTCCCTCAAATGCTACATCTCTAATAATTCCTTTTTGTTGCTGAGTGAAAATAACTTTACGGTAACACAAGGAGGTCTCCACAAAAACAGAATACAACTACAGTTAACAAAAAACCTGACCACATCCTAAAAAGACTAAATACCGGTACTGTTTAACATTGACTTTCCTCACATTTCTTTTTTTAAAGCTAGAGATCAGCTTATTAACAAAAACAGTACAGATACTGTATGCATAGCCAGACCCAACATATAATAAAGAGGTAAAATCAGAACAAATAAAAAAGTAAAATAAAAGCTTTTAAAAACAATTTGTACCCCGTATTAATTTGTAAAATTTATAAAATTTGTATTAAAAACTAAGTTTTTTTGGGATTATTATTTCGAAAAAAAAGCAAGCCAGCTTTTTAAAAATTTTAAACATTGAACATTTAAACTGAAATTCAAGCAGTAGATCTAAATCAGCATATAACAATTAAATGGTAGCTTGCTGATGTCTTCAAGACCAACCTACAACCCCCCTTTATCCATTGTATTCTGCTCTTGAACAAAAAACCTCCCCTACTCTTTACGGGTTCCTAAATGAAAAACATCTAACGCAATAAGATTATTATATTGTTTATCGTTACATATAAAGCACATCAATGTGTTGATTCGATTTTAAAAAAAAATAATAATAAATCACTGCTTTACCCCATCATGAAATCAAAACAGCAGATCATTTTACCTCTTCAAGTGATTTAACAGCCCATTCATTGGCCTTTAACTTAGCCCGTATGTCCCTTTGTTTACGCCATGGTAAAATCCAATTCAGTGGCCAGGGATATGAACAACCATAACGAGGCTTAGTTACCTGTTTAAGGTACACAGATAACAAACTATTAAACTTAATTCCAAATGAAGGGAAATCTGAAATGATCTTGAAAATATGCCCGTAAACGCAGAAACAACAGCAGAAATACACCCCTGCAGGGGATGATGCCTTAAATGTACAAAAAAGAGAATACATTATTTTTAATATATAAGGATATTTTAATCCTTAATCAGATTAGACATTACTGACGCAAGGAATATTGATTTATAATCTTTTGGCATCTCTTAAAGCCACACAGAGATAAGTAATTCTTGACTATGGCTAAATATCTTAACAAGCAATAGAGCCTTACTTAAAATGAGAATAGTTTAACCTCTCCTTTTGTCAAAGGTTTATTTTTCATGTCTGTCTTCATTGTTAAGAAAGAATGAAAAAGTTTGTTTATTGAAACATGAACTTGTAATTATCAGTTTTAGAAAATCCAAATGTGCACTTATTACCATAAGATTAGAATTCATTTGTCAAGTGCTATTTTCTAAAAATAAAATTAATAATATTTTAAAATGCTAAATAATTATTTTCAAAATAAGTTGTACTCTATTACTTCATAACCACTTGTTTTAAATTGTGCGTTACCTCATTGGCTATATCAGTGTTTAACCATGCCAAGTACAACTGGTTTGAAAAAAATTAGAAGAAAATCATTATACTATCATTCTTTTAAAAAGGAAAACAGTACTAATAAAAATAATGGTTATATTTTATTTCAATATTGTTTTGCAATAATGCAAAAATGTGTTTAGTTTACAATAAAGTAATTTTATCTATCTTTTAATGTGCTTAAAATATTGCTTATTATTTTTTGGGGAAAACTTTATCTATCCATCAACATTTTCTAATTAAAATAACTTTTAAATTAAAACTATAAAGACAAGGTTTTCTAAAACAATATATAGGCTAGTCCCCTTGTGATATTTTTCAAATTTAGAGAGCACTAAATTGTTTTTAAAAAAAAGGAAATTGTTCTTTTTCCTGAGGAGACTTACCTCTGCATTCCCCATAATATTTTCAATCATTGACATATAGGCCCTCATCTCTGACCTCTCAGTGTCAGGCATATCTTTAGTTAAATAAAAGCCCTGTTGAAAAAATAACGTTTGATTATTTGATTGTAAGAAAAAAGTAAAAGAAAATCTGTAGAAAAAATTATTTTTTGCTCATTTAAATTTAAGACATTAAACATATTGAGGAAAAGACAAACATAAAGGGAATATCATATTAATTAATGTGGATTGATTTAAGCTCTTTTGTTTATAATCAAGAATGGTTTTGGGTACAGCAGCATTGAACTTTCAGCTGACTTTAACGTTTGTAAAGTTATTTAAAATTAGATCACATATTAAAAAAACAAAATGCATTAAAAATGAGAAACTCAGGAAGACATAAAGCATACATTGCACTGCAACTGATTAATTGTGCTTACCTTTGTATTGACGAAACCAACCACAGGCTCAAACTCTGAAACTAAATATGGACCCACTTGAATGAAAGGAACTTTTCCTGGAAAAATAGATAAACTGTATGTATAGATTGTGAAAATGAATATATTTTTGGTCAAAAAAATATATAGGATAGCTTTAGAGAACTAAAAATGTCTTTAAAAATATATTATTTTAACACTACCTGATGGGGACATTTCTTCTGCATTTGTTCGCTGTTCAACCCTGAACTTCAGACCACACATGTGAAGAAATGTTTCAACAGCTAGACATTGTGCATAGTCAGGCAGAGTTATCTGCTCCACTGTAAAGTTGTTTTGGAAAGAACAATGTACCTTTTACTTAGTCATTGTTAACAAAAATCCAAATTTTTTATTGAAATCTTTGTTTTCATTTCAATACTTTTTTATCATTAATGGTTGTTTATTTTAACTCCTTAATTAAATATCATTCATAACTCAAAATTATGATACCATATTATCATCATCAATATATTAATATAAATATATTATTTCAATGATTTATGCAGGATTCAATCACATTTAAATTTTGACAGAAAATAATACAAATTATTTTAACAAATACTTCCTTTTACTGTACTCTAAATTCTAAGGATGCAATGGTTGTAAAATTATCACGTTATAGTACAGCAAACTTACTAAATGCACACCAGTCTATAATGATTTCAACTTTTCAAAACCTTTTCATGTCTAATGGTATCACAGAACGGATGGTATTTTGAGGGTCTGCCACATACTTATGCCTTGGTCACAGACCAAGTGGTATTGGTGTCATTGTGACTAATACAGGCCCCTCTCCTATTTGTGATGATTCACTGATCCAGGTGTTGAGGATAACAACGAAGAATACACAAGACACGATTAAATCATGAAACAACTCCACAGCAGCAATTACAAAGAAAAGATGTATTGGTGAATAGTGCAACAAATCCAGAAATGCTTCTCTTCTAGCTTGAACACTTGACAAGCTGTATATTCCTGGTCTATCTTTGACTACTACTTCTGTTCCTGTCAATTCAGATTGACCATCCTAACTTTACTCTCTATGTCAGAAAGAGATTATATACCATTCTGAACCTCCATAGGTGGTCCAGGAATGCTATCTATTTAAACATCCCTGCCCGATCGTTTCCGGTCAGGAACTTCCGCCTTTAAACTCAAAATTATCATTTGAAATCTGGCAGGCCCGAAATATAATATTATGGAAAGAAACAATCCCCTCTAGCTCAAGATATGAGAATCTGTTAACCTTAACCCCCAAACGATTCCCTTCCAAAATTCAAAGCAATTTCCCTACCTCTTTAAGTTACCTAAAAAAACAATGAAGCTCTGTTCTGTCCCCCACCCCAGTCATATTTGACAAATGGTGAGAACCAAAGAAAGGACTAAATTGACATAAGGCAGTTCATGTTAAATCATTAACAGGTATACTAACCTTGATACTGTTGATAAAGAATAACATCATCAGGCCATGGTTCATTGGCTGAAAAAAGTACATTTATAAAATATAACGAATTTTAAGAGTTGAAAGTCACAACAAATTTATTTTATAAACAAATTTTCACGAAACTGATTTCAAAATAATAGACATAATATATCTATTATATTGAAATCGGTTTCATGAAAATTAAAAGTAAATACTTTAAATAACAATGAATGAATGTTATTTAGGCCTTGATTGCTATTTACTATATAACTATGTCTATGATAATGAACACAATTTAAACATTTTGGAAGCAAAAGTAAAGCACAACTTAACATTGACATTTTAAGCCTACATCTAAGTCCACCTAAAATGATGTTTCGATACCATATTAAAATTTTTGAAAAACTATCAAAACTTTGTCATTTCATAAATTATATGACCATAGTTCTGGAAAATAGCTTAACACACAAACTGTGGTCGGCTGAAAAAATTAGCCGACATTCTTATTCTGTACTGTGGCAACTGATAAAAAAACACGGTCCGATAGCAACTTCCAATCCAATATTTAACCAGAATTATAGCCACTTCGTTTTTTTAATAATTAAATCATCTTCCGGTTCAAGCTGTTACTTGATAACTTAAATTAAGTACTTTTTAATCGGATATTTATATTGCTGTTTTTTTTAAAGCTAAAATAGTTGAAGCTATGGCTGGGCCTTCAGTGCAAGAACTAATAGAAATACTTTTGAAAGCTTTTTTGGAGAGGTTTTAAGTGATACTGATGATGATTTTAACATTCCCTATGACGATATCAGATGAGATTCTTCTTCTCGTGAATCTTATCCTAGTCTTAGTGATACTGAAGTAGGCCTACTGAGGCTACTCTTAGACTTTGAGCCAGGCCCGGAGGCTGAGCAAGAACGGACTGAATTTTAGTCACAGAAGCTACAGATTATAGTTCAGAACTAATAAATTTTATAGTTAAACAACCCAAATCAGTTCCACAGTTCCTTTTTAAATGTTTACTAGTCAATAATAACTATTTTGCCTGAGATTTTGTATTTTGTACTTGGTTTTAGCAGTGGTCCCAGGTTCTAATATAAATGACCGAAAATTACTCAAATGTCCTTCAGAGGCTTAATTGTCATCAAAACCTTAGCAAACTATACATTTTTTTAAAGATAAATGACTTGGCTAGAACATTTATATTTTTGTTTTAAGTGTAACTATAAAAATTAATGATGTTATGAGCACTTGAAAGCAAGACATTTTGTCCATTTTTTGTTCTTGAGAACTCCAAGGTCAAGGAAACTGAACAAAATTTTGTTACAGGGTGGGCAATATGGCCAACTTTGTATCAATATTTCTATGTCATTTAATGCAATTTCAAATGGCACTCAAAAAGCTCTGAAAAGCTCCCACACCATTGAATGATGCATGCCGCAGTTCCTGGGTTAATTACCTTTAACTAACATTGAAGACCTCAACAACCAATATTATTAGGCTATGAGTAGCCTATTATAATCTTGTAAAAGTGTAGTTCAGGTGCATATAGGCCTATTATTTCTTAACAAATTTCATATTTACGCATGTAAACTTGAGTGTATTCAATTCATTATTAATTTAATTCCAGGCAGAAATAGTTAACAAATACTAAATTGTACAGCCGTAACTTTTCTTTTTATTTCATGGCTGAGGCATCTTTGAAAACAGCTCCTGATGCCAGATTTTTTGATCAATAAGTCTTTGTTAAAGTGTATGCAATACATTTACAAAAATAATAATATTAATGAAAATGAAATATAATTTAAAATTTACAATTTTAATTTATTGTTAGTTAACTATTACTGCCTGGAGTTAATTTGAAAAAGAATACACATTGTCGGCTAAGGCAGACAATTCTTTACAAAAAACACATAACAACATCAGGCGCCAATAGTTTGACTTTGACCAATTACCCTAACTGCTAACTGAGCCTATTTTTTTAAAAAAACCTTTAGGCTTAGCATTTAGTGTAGTTACTTGTTCAGTATTACTACTGAATACAGGCATGAATTAAAATTTAGATAATTCACAATTACTGAATGGACATTACTTATCAAAGAGTTTTTATAAGTAGCAAATGACGGCCAAAAGTAATGAAAAGTTTAAGAAAATTGGCCTTGAATTTTGAATGATGAATTGTATTGTTGAATGTTGGTTGGGTCATTCAATATTGAATTAGACAAAGCAAAGACTCAAATTAAACAGTTGACTTTCTTGTCTTCTGGTTTTAATAGTTTCTTTCATTCAAAAATGTATTTATAAGCCAATACCAGTTTCTTTTTTACCCCCTAAAGTAGCTTGGATAGCATATTCAGTCAACGACATGACTTTCGTCTGACACCGGTGTCAACAAAACTCTTCAGCACTTAGAAATCAATTTTCCTTTAAATGTCTATTGTTATGTAAACGTCATTGCTAATCGATGCGCTTCTTAATATGCTAAGTTGGGATTTCTAAAATTTATAAAAAATTAAAACGTTTTGAGTTTATAACATATTTCCTTAATATTTTATTCATTTTTCATTTTTAAAAATTGAACAATTAATTAGCTTATTACGTTATTTTTCTCACAAAATATGGCTAAGAAAGGGAAGCATTATCATTATGCGATGCATGTATCCAGGAAGGGGCGCTTCGCCACAAGCAGCAAATTTTTCTACATATCAGAAGTGGTATTTACGGCCAATGGCAGAGTTTTCATTTTGAAAGTCGACTGCTAAAATTTTAGCCTACGCCGGGTGGCACTAACCCTTTCTACGTCATTACTCGTCTGTCATAATTTGTATGTTTATAAGTAGTGGAACAAGGTTTGGGTATGTTTAAGCATGAAAAGAAAAGATCCGTTGTTGGTACAAGTTCCTTTTCATTTCACCATTGGGACGAAAGACATTATGTAAGTTTAAAAAACAGAAATATTGAATCCCTTTAGGGTAATTTTTTTTTTCAAATTAAATAATAAAATAATATATTTCTTCAAATTTAATCGGATGTAAACAAACCTAAATTTTGTCAGTATGTCTTTACCCTTTGAAGGTTATAAATAAGGTTCACTAAAATATTACTTCAAAATTCTGACCGTTTCTATACAGCTTCTATAAAAATTGATTGCAATATTCATTCGGTATTCCTGATCTGACTGTGCTTAAAACAAGAACCAATGACTACCATTTCCGTCTTTCGACTGCTAAGTTTTGGAAATTTTAGTACTGTCAAAAATGATGTTCCACTGATCTTTCTGTGCTCCTAGTAGTCATGGGTATTCCATGGCTCCATCTTTATTATGTTGCCTATTTGAATGATGTTCTGGAAAGTGAGCTTGGGTGCCACACTGCTGATATGATAAAGCAATCTTGAGTGGCTTGGCTGCACATGTTCTGGAGAGATTATCACCAAGCTTTCGGCACTTAAGTTTTGATTTTTTTTTTCCTCAATCGGAGATGGCTTTAATTAGAAATGCTGTCGATTTTCTTCTAAGACAATTGTTCCAAAAAAAACAAAACAAAAACACTTCCATTTTCTACGAGATGAACTAGTTGTCTTCCATCACTTTATCGAAAAGAACATCTGCGGCCCACGGACCATATGTGGCCCGCTGAACAGTTAAGTGTTGGCTGAGAGACCGTCCAGGAAATGGACTCAAGTAAAATGTACTTATGATTTCGTGTAAAATCCTCCCCCTGCCCCCCCCCACCAAACATTAACTCAAAGTGAATTTTTGAAGCCCATCTTCAATGCTATATATTAAAATTGATCTTCTATATTCTCTGAACAATCTGGCCAAGCCAAAAATTCCAGTCCTTTTTTTAAACGTTGGAATAAAATCGGTAAAATTAGTAGATTAGTCTCTCCAAGATCTACTCATTAGTACACTTCAACGAAATTACTCTCAGGGTCGGCCTCCCCTTGGCTCAACATCAATAACGTCATTTGGAAGGGCAGGTAAGGGCATTTCCCCCCCTCCCCCCGGAATTTGCAGGTTTATTTACATTGCTACGTACTGTGGTGCCTCCAGTCAAATACAACTTAAAAAGCCGCTCACGTTTTGGTCTTGTCCTCCCCCCACCCTTTTCCTGAAAAAACCTGAAATGACTCCCGTGCTTAAGATGCATTATGCAAAATGTATGAGACTTTACAAATGTGTTATTTATATTATATAAAATTGAGAGAATGATTTGAGTTTTTAATAAAGAAAAAAGTTTGAAGGAAAAGAAATTAGCTAAAAAAAAATAATTAAACATAAAAATAGGAAAAAAAAAAGTGGGTTTTTATTTAAAATAATTGTGTCATTCACTCCAGGATTTATTTCTTTTGGAATTGCCTTGATGTCTTTGAACCACTAGCTCTTTTATTTCATAAAGAATGTAATGCAATGAAGATTCACTCCGCTAAAAAAATTTTTTGTTACTAATAATGTTCAAAATTTTGTTGACCGAAAAGACACCAGTTCTAGCAGATGCGTACCTTGATTTAAATGCCACCCTGAGTGCACCATCAAAAGGGCGCCCCCTCTAAAATACAAATAAAATTTGTGAAATAATGTTCAATGTATTTGTGAGTCGCCGCAACGATATAGATAAACCCCAATGGTGGATCTCATATTTTTTGAGACCCCAGATAAACATTAGAACGTAACACTCCAGTTTAACGGCTGGTAAATAGACGAATAGACGAAACGACAATCTCCGAAAAGTTGGTTACATCACACGCGGCCCCTAACGTTTTGATAGCTCTGAAAAAGAAACGCGTAGGTCAACCGTTTGATCATTTTTTAAATTTTTTTGGGGGGTCGCCCTGGCGTGTTTCTAACGATTTCACTGAAAGAGAAAACTCAAAAGACTAGCCAGTGACTGATTCATTCAAAAAAAAAAATCAAAAAAAAAAAATTGAAACTTTAATCTAATATTGTCAGATTTCAGGTTATCCGGTTAATCGGGTCAGAAAAATCCGATTTCCGCTTAATCGACAAAATGGCCGATAACCCGAATATTTGCCGATCAATCCGTGCAAATCTAATTTTTCTTCACCTTTTCTTCTCACATACACTTAAAATGAAAATAAGAATTAACTTCTTAAATATAATTTTATGGCGCAAAGTTGGTGCCACTCGGAGATATGGTCCGTTTACTTGGCACCTGTCCACAAGCCTCTCCGTTATCTGTACGCTAAAGCTGAAAGATTTTAAAAGACATAAAAACGCTTAGGTAATCACTTCATAACTGGGTCCATTCCAGCAAGTCCATCACTCTGAACAGCTTGAGAGACATTGTCTTATTTGACATAGTTTTGAAGCATGTATAGCTATTATTAATAAATGTGCCCCCCAAAAAAGTTTTCCTGTTAAAAAAAAAGGGGGGGGGGGACACAATCTTCACATAAGTAATCTACACTCAGGGAGGAAGATTGCAAAGTTATCATTTACATGTTACCTGCATGTTGTGGCATTTTATTATAAATCACGTGACTACCTGACGGAGCAATTAGCCGAGGACCAAGGTTAACGCAAACTAATGTGCCGGTAGCGTCAACGTTAAGGTCACACAGAAAAGGGAAACAAGTGCAGGTCTTAAGTTTGATTTTCGGCTCGAAATTAAGGCGAAACAAATTAACACAAGAACGTACTTAAAATTAAATATTTTTAGTGTTTCAGTCGAAGGTCGGGGTAGGAAGTAATAAGTGGCAAATGAATGCTTCACTGGAAGAAAAACTAGGCATGTTTAAAATGGAAACAAAGACCAATTCAATAAATTAATCAATTAAAATATTATGTAGGTCTAATTGATTTCAAAGGCACAATTATGGTTAAAAGCAATTTTTAAAAATTATAAATCCTTTTCATTGTAGGTAGGCCCCAAAAGTGAAAATTAAAAAAAATATTTGACTCCACTTTTATTCATTATTGCTAAATCTTGCGAGACACTTTGTCGATCCTTTGTGACAACACACCCATTTTAAATAAAATACATACGCAACCAATTTGTATACTAAAAGGGAAGACACTTTTACAGACCTCTGGATTTTTTAAAAAATTGTTCAGTAAGGTGAAATAAAACATGAAGCACAAATCTAAATTCTCTTTGACCACATCCGTAAATCTGCACGAAATAAATTTGTTTGCAGAAAATTTTGTTGTATGACGGTTGGTCCTAACGTGAATTTGCTTTCATGACCAGGTAGCGACACCTGGATTTTGGGAATCACTGATGTAAAAAGGCAGTACTGCCCACAAAATTTGGACTAAATGCTGCTCTAGAACAGGTGTGGCCAACCCACAAGACTTCGCGGGCCGCTTGGATTGCTTGTAAAACCGTCCGCGGACAGCATGGCATTAAACCTTGTTTTAAAATAATAAAATCAGCATCCACTAAAAGCTATATAGAAATGTTTTTTTTTTCTATTCTTAATGCACGTAATGAAATGTTAAATAAATAAAAGAGAAAAAAAAAAGGAACAACCAAAACAAACAGCCCAAAGCAAACTAATGTAACATCATTGAATCCCTTCTCTCACTCATCTTTTTAAAACCGTTTTCTTTGGTAAATGGAATGAACTGGCAAAAGGGTTATTAGTGATAAAGCAGCAATCCCCTGTGGCCGCAGTAGTTTGACGTGGCGAGCCATCCGGTCGATCTCCCCCCTGCTCTAGATAAATACTAAATAAAATAACAGGAAGTATGTCATCGTAACGAGAAATATGACGCGACAGAACGCATTACGCCGTGTAATAACAAATATCCTGACACTCCCACAGCAGCAATTACATGTTAATATATGTGAAGGAAGAGACCTTGATGTTTGATATGATTTCTAACTTCCTTTATAGTTTCTGCTATATAAACAAAGACAATCACCAGTGACAGTTGTCTCACATCGGCTGACGTCAGTGCAGTTCAAGCCTTACATTTCCTCATCTCTAGTAGTTTTCATTGAATACAAATACAGATCACGTAAAACCAAAATACTTTTAAACGAGAAGTTCTTGCCACCATGGAGCGCATGCCGTCACTTCTGAGGTGCCTCATCTTATCTTTGACTATAAGTTGCTGCTTTTCGGGTAAGAATAATTGCTCTTAAAGTTCGCAGTAAATTCAAGCTATCGTGGTTTTAATCTGAAAATCATAAATACAATTTCACCAATGCGTCTTCTTTTAATGAAAAAATAAATAAATAAAACGTCTGGATCAAACATCGACAGTGCCATTGATTGATATCGATCTTTATTTAAAGGAAAACAAAACGTTTTAAGGATTGAACTTACATTTCTATATTTAAAGGAAAACAAAACGTTTTAAGGATTGAACTTACATTTGTGTTTCAGCATTTTTTTTTTATATCACTACGCTACTGACATTGCTGTCAACTGTATGGTAGAGTACAATTGTAGCTTTGGTTGGCTAAATTTCTAAACACTGTTTCAGGTTTCTAAAAATGTAATTATTTCAAACTAGCATGCTTGACCCGCGTCCACTAAGCTGATGGGCCATTCATAAATAACGTCTAAAGGGGAGAGGGGGATCACGAATCTATAACAATCTACTGCTTGTTTGAGGGGTCTTAAATCGATCAAATTAGTGTTACGTCTTTATACATTGCTCCCCCCCCCCAAACTCTATATGTGACCGAACTCCACTGATTTCATGAAACGTAACTTGTTCATTCGTCATTTCATTACGTCATTTATTCTCGTCTTTGTGTTTATAGAAGTAGACTGCGTTACAGTCGTCAGATGTAATTGACAAATTTCATTGTTTACGCTAAGAAATCTAACGTACTTCAGTGGTTGGGCTACACGAGCCTCGTGGGCCACACACGAACCGCTAAAATATTTAATGAGGCCCGCATGATTGACAGATAACTGGATTGATGTTTTACTGAATGATTATTTGTAAATTTAGGATACTCGATTTAATATGACTTCATGAAAGCTTTTTCTGCTTTTAAGAGATACGCATTGATTTCAAACTTGAATTTACTTTCCTAAGTCCCATTAATACGTAGTATTAAGCAAATATGTAACATTAAACATACATTTGATTTTACATAATTTTTCATTATATTTTTGGTGATTTCAATTTTATTCCTTTCGACCTCATAGCAATACTATGTCCACAAAAACGTTGTGCACAACCAAGCTGCCCTTTTGGATTCGCCACTGATGTTAACGGATGTGTGACCTGCCAGTGTCGCCCATGTCCATTCCCCACGTGTGATCTGTGTCCCGACGGCCACGTCACAGACAAGAAAGGCGACTCAAGACTCCAATGCAAGCCTCGGGTGTGTCCGGTCGTGAAGTGCGCTCCCTGCCCGTCTAGTTTCTTAAGTGATGCAAAGGGATGCCAGACGTGCGCATGCAAACCTTTTGTGTGCCCAGTCGTTACCTGCCCGCCGTGTCCGAATGGGTTTCTTACTGACAGTCTCGGGTGTAAAACCTGTACTTGCAAGCCCCCAGTGTGTCCAGTTGTGAAGTGCTCACCTTCCTCTCACGGATATTTCAATGATTCCAAAGGTTGCCAGATATGTCAATGTAAACCTTTAGTGTGCCCCAAATTATCATGTGCAGCATGTCCTAATGGCTATCTTAATGACACACGTGGATGTCAAACTTGTACTTGCAAACCTTGACAATTTGTCAAATGTCCAGCATGCCCATATGGCTATTTAAATGATTCCAAAGGTTGCCAGACATGTCAATGTAAACCTTTTGTGTGTCCCAAATTATCATGTGCAGCATGTCCTAATGGCTATCTTAATGACAAACGTGGATGTCAGACTTGTACTTGCAAACCTTGCCCATTTGTAAAATGTCCAGCATGTCCTTATGGATTTTTAATTGATTCAAAAGGTTGCCAGACATGTCAATGTAAACCTTTAGTGTGCCCCAAATTATCATGTGCAGCATGCTCTAATGGCTACCTTAATGACACACGTGGATGTCAAACTTGTACTTGCAAACCTTGCCCATTTGTTAAATGTACACCATGCCATTATGGATTTTTAATTGATTCAAAAGGTTGCCAGACATGTCAATGTAAACCTTTAGTGTGCCCCAAATTATCATGTGCAGCATGTCCTAATGGCTATCTTAATGACACACGTGGATGTCAAACTTGCAATTGCAAACCCTGCCCCTTACTGAAATGTCCTCTTTGCCCGTTCGGCTACACCACGAACCCCACGGGCTGTCAGACGTGTCAATGCAAACCATTGGTCTGCCCTCCAACACTTTGTTTCTGTCCGTACGGCACCGACTGGACAACGGACATCCTCGGCTGTGCACGATGCACTTGCAAACCGTTTCAATGCCCGCATCTGAACTGTCCGATTGACAAGTGTCACACGGGGTTTGAGATCGATGACAAAGGTTGCCAGACTTGTCAGTGTAAGAAACCAGAGTGCCTCGATTCCCAGTGTAAGGACGTGTGTAAGAATTCCAACAAGGTTCACGAGATCTCCGAGACCTGTCACTGCGATTGTTAGTACTATACAACATGTATGAGTGCTTATCGAACAGTTTAAAACGATGCCTTTACCCAATATTTTACAACCTGAAATTATAATTATAAAATTGAATAGTTACCAAATTAATTTTTAAAAATGTTCTTTTCATTGTGTTTTCAAAAAAAAAAAAAAAAAAAAAAAAAAAAAAAAATGCTTTGAAAGTCTGTGAACATAGACAACGACAGCAATTATTATTCTTTATGTGGATTTTATTGAGTGAAAGAAATTTTGAAAGTTTGTTTCAGTTTAAACCTTTTTGGCTATTAATAATTAATTATATTTGGCTCGTAAAAAATTATTTGCTTCTTGAAATAGAAAGAAAGGAAGACAAAAAGATCAGGAATCAATTTAATTTTTTAATTCGAGATTAAAACTGTTTTGAAAGTGTGTCTTACAAAATATTAAACTCTAGGGTTTATTTAAAGGTCATTCTTCTTGATTTTATTGTGTTTGAAAAATTTAGCTGTGAAAAATTTTGATTTCAAGCATACACGATAAAAATAAAAAGGAACTAAACAGGAACCTAAAGAAACATAAATTAATGTTGTACTATTTATGGGGGGGGGGGGGAGTTACTAAACTAGAACAATGGAATTGTCAACGAAAAACAATAA